TATAAAGGAACTACAGCACGGTCAAATGACTTCACGTTTGGACTTTCAAAAACTATATAGAAAAATTGCATTTTGTCTAACTCTGCTGCATTTATAGCTGTGTGTCCCTTTTGAAAAAAAAACGACCTATAAATAAATATCTGCTGAGTTGTCGCAGCATACCGTAGATATTTGTAATGGAAACTTCTATCATACTAAGGGAGCTTTTAAAGTTCACCATCTGTTCTTCTTTTACAAGCTATTTCTCACAACAGGTAGCACCAGCAATAACCTAAATGAGTCGTAAATGGGGTTAGAGCTATTCAGTGTTGTGAGGTCAGTGGTCTTGTCCTCTTGTGGACAGTAGACATGATGTTTCTCCATTTGCTAGAAGATGTGTTTTAAAGAATCCTATATATAGTATGATTATCTTTTCTGTTTGTCTCAGCCCCTCCTCTTCTATTCTTGGTGTGAATATCAGACCCTCTGAAGACCTTCTGACTTTTGTACTTCGCTGCAGACTGCTTGACTCTCTGTAACGATTCACCTTCTTGCAAGAATAAACTGCCTATTCCAAGAATCTTCATTTCAGTATAACGGAAAGGTTTCCTCACCATTTTATATTATTTACTGGTTTGTCTCGGTAAGTTTCCACCACACATGACATTAAAACCTTTGAATCTTTGAATCTTGAATCTGTGTGCTCTGCAGGGATGCTGCGATGGAGTCTTCAGAGGAAGCTGGAGGCCGATCCCTCCTGCAGCGTTTCATTGATCGGACTGCTGGTCAAAGAGCTGAAAAAGAGGCCGGAGATGGTAAACCATTCAAATATGCCTTCAGGTTTCAATGTCCATCACAAATTACAATGTAGATTTCCAAAGACTTGTGTGTCTCTGTCTTTGTAGAGGAAGAGTTGTTTGTAATTCTGCCTGCATACTTTATTTTTTTCATAAACGTTATGTAACTGTTATCTTTTGTTTGATGTCTGTTAGATCCAAAAAACACAATCCTTCTCACATGTGATCCCAGTGCTGCACACGCTCTACTCTGTGGTTATTGAGGTAAGACACATCTCTATACCTTCATTAAGGAAGTTATGTTTTCAGTTCAGGTGGTCTGTCTTTCAATAAGATTATAGAAACTGTCCGAATTTGAATGAAACTTGGTGAAAGGGGGAAGCGTGCAACAAGGAAGAACTCATTACATTTGGGAAATAATCTGATCCGGATTCACACACTATTTTTGACTTTATTTAACAATGAAATAGGGCATTGCCTTGTCCGAAATACAGTTGGTAGTGATTTCAGTTTTACAGTTTTGCTGATTCTGTACTTATCTTTCCAGTCAGGTGTCATGATTCCTACCAGCCTTTTCCAGACAGCGTATGACCGTTTGATGAAATTGCTGATATTACCGTCGCCTTACTCCACTGTGGCCCACAGCACTATGAGGAGCATCAAAATGGAAATTACCACACCAGGTATGAAGCATCAGCAGACACAAAAGAGTGGTGCAGGGGTTTCACTTCAACACTGCTAAGCTAAAGGCGGCTAATGTTGGGCTAACGGAACTACAGCGCGGTCACATGACTTCACGTCACCACCGCTAAGCTAAAGGTGGCTAATGTTGGGCTATAAAGGAACTACAGCACGGTCACATGACTTCACGTCACCACCGCTAAGCTAAAGGCGGCTAGTGTTGGGCTATAAAGGAACTACAGCACAGTCACATGACTTCACGTCACCACCGCTAAGCTAAAGGCGGCTAGTGTTGGGCTATAAATGATTTGAATATTCCATTTCATGAAGTGAAGGAGGCTTTACAAATAAAAAAAATAGCTCTACACCCCTGGCCGCAATGTCCTTAAAATGAAGTCCAAGTTCGAAATATATCTAAAATAATGTATGCACTGCCATTCCCCCACAAACGGTTGTCTCCTGTGTGCTCCACCTGTAACATTATCTG